AGTCTTAAAAATTATTATGGAAGGCTCACCCTTGAGGCCTTGATGGAAGGGGCTGGCTTAAAAAGAATTTTTATGGAGTTAGAGTATTATCTCCGGCCAAATCGGCAGTTCCACTCTGTTGGGCCTCAGCTGCCAGTAAGCGTGTCATCTGCAGCAGGGAAGCCTGTCATGTAAGAAAGCCCTTTCCCGGCCAGTGGCTGAGAGTCCCGGGTGGTTTTGTGTGTGGCAGGGGGTAAGGGAGGAACAGTTCAATTCGGCATCCCCGCTTGCGTAGTCGCATAAAAGCTGGTAAGGCTGGGTGTGAGCCCTTTACTCAGCTTGTTATGAGCCACAAGCGGTCTAGTCTGTGACGGGGACTTCCATGATTAAGGCTCCTGGAGAAAAACTAAAGTTTTTGCTAATAGCCGGTGGGAGTGCCATCCACGAAAGGAAGGATCGACCTGATTATGGGGCCCTCCAATCGACTATAATTTTGATTGAAAGTGGCATTGAGTTTTGTTTGGAAAGAGTTATGAGAGCTGCTCATTGAGCAAAAATTGTGGATGGGACTAGCAAGGTGTGTGATAAAAGTGAAGAATCACACTCATAAAAGTAGGATCTATGGGGAAGAGGGGTGACCTTCTTTATTTTGAAAGACTAAGTGAATATCACCGCCCATACCTTTGACGAGTTAGAAAAATGAGTGACTTTTGAATGGTAATAGTGCCTTATGGGACTGGGCTTAACGGGGCCCTGCCCACAAGGTACATTTGTGGTATGTATGATGGGGTCCAACACCCAAATCTTCTAGAGTAGCTGAAGGATTGAGGTGTCTGATTAAATCCTACAATGAGGTGTTCTTCTGAGAGAGGGCTTGTAAAAAAGAGTATATGGATCGGTTGAGTTTGAGTAAGTGATGGGTGAAAGGTGAAGAATCTACCTAGAGACAGAGGCCCTGAAATTTGACCCACCACTGAGTCTGAGTCTTAGCCAGCGGTGGGGTGATCAGTGTGTCCGGCGCGATAAACATCGCTCAAAGGGACCGGGAGTGTTGTAGTCCTAAGTTTGGCTTTGGATGGCTCTCCGTCCGTGATTACAGTGGGTGGAAAGTGGGTTTGCCCACTTTGTTGAAGTAGAAGTGGAGGAGTGTTTGTGCTTAGCCGATTACTCGGCTATTATAGATTTCTAATTTTGATCAAAAATTGAATGATAGTTTCGACCTTTGGCTTCTGCACGGATTGCCTTAAGGAAACGAGGTCTAGTGTTGATACAACTAGATGACCGTTTCAGTTGAAGTTAAAAACTCGGGGAAATTATCAGGTACTTCTTCTGAAGACTATAGTTGAATAGAAATACTTGGTGCGACGGGGACGTCGTTTAATAGGGTCCGGGAAGACTGTCGTACCAAATACCCTTACAAGGGTATTTGGCGTGTTTTTTTTGCAGCTCACGCAAGTGCAGTGTCGCCCGCCTGACGGCGTGCACGTGAGCGGGAGCATAGGTCCTTGTCAGGGTGAGGGGCGCACGTGGCGGCATGAGGTATTGACGGTGAGGCGCAACTGTGCGCTGCCTAGGCGTGTGCGGAGTCACGGGTCAGTGGGGCGCGCGACGTTTGTCTATGTTTTCTTTTTCTATTTTTTTACTGTTGTGTTATTTTGACTTTATAGGGTCCGGCGACGTGACGCCGGAGTTAGTGGTCGCCACGGCAGTCGAGGACCTTAAATGTACGGTGCGTGGAGGGACGGTGGGTATTTTGACCCACGGCTAGGGAGGAGTATCAGCGGCGGGGCCCTTGGCGGGTGTACTGGCCCCCCCCCGCGGATGTGCTGTGAGAGGCTTGTGAGTGAGCGGGCCGTTGGGACCCGCGAGCTGGCGGACTGTGCCCGGGGCACTATGGCAAGGTCCACCGCGGTACTACGGCATGTTGCGGACCATATGGGACCGTGCTGTGGGCCTGCAGTAGGCCCGCGCCCTCAACTGCAGGGCGGCCTGTGTAGGGGTTGCCCGTTGGGGACCCGAAAGGGCGGCGCACTGTCGAGCAGCAGCTGGCCGATAGAGAGGAGCAGGGAGCGCAGCCGGGGCGAGTTGAGAGCCCAGCGGTGTAGCGCAGTGAGGGCAAGGCGGGGCCAGCCGATGCGGTGCGCCGTCCGCTTCCCACCATTGCTGTGAGAGGTTTGAGTGTGAGCGTGCCCGCTGGGGCACGTAAGATGGTGAACTATGCCTGAGCGGGGCGGGTACCCATGGGAGGCTGCCACATTTTTCATTGTGCGGCAGGCTGTCCCAGCAGCAGGCCAGATTGAACCCACATCCACTTCGGCCTTCAAAGTTCTCATTTGAAGATCGCTACTGCCACCAAGATCGGCCCCAAGGCCCACTTCACCCAGGCTCATGCTGCTGGCTTAGCAGCGGGCCCGTGCCCTCCTACCCGCCGCAAGAGCCAGCAGCCACCGGCCCTCAGGGCTGATTGACTCAGCAGGTGAGTTGCTACTCACTCCTTAGCGGATTTCCACTTCCGCGGCCACCGGCCTCCGGACTGTGTCAATCACTGCCTGTTGCGGTGCCTGGCTTAGTGCACCAGTTAGCGGAGGAGAAGAGTGTGAAGGCAGCCAAAAAAAAAAAAAGAAAAAAAAAAAAAAGAAAAAAAAAAAAANGGAGTCACGGGTCAGTGGGGCGCGCGACGTTTGTCTATGTTTTCTTTTTCTATTTTTTTACTGTTGTGTTATTTTGACTTTATAGGGTCCGGCGATGTGACGCCGGACTTAGTAGTCGCCACGGCAGTCGAGGACCTTCAATGTACGGTGCTTGGAAGGACTGTGGGTATTTTGACCCACGGCTAGGGAGGAGTATCAGCAGCGGGGCCCTTGGCGGGTGTACTGCCCGCCCCCCCCGCGGATGTGCTGTGAGAGGTTTGACTGTGAGTGTGCCCGTTGGGGCACGTAAGATGGTGAACTATACCTGAGCGGGGCGGGGCCAGCGGGTACCCATGGGAGGCTGCCGCATTTTTCATTGTGCGGCAGGCTGTCCCAACAGCAGGCCAGATTGAACCCACATGCCACCAAGATCTGCCCCAAGGCCCACTTCACCCAGGCTCATGCTGCTGGTAAGCAGCGGGCCAGGGGCGTTGTGAGGAAGACTGCAGCGATATTGCTGCAGCTCGTTTGACGGAGAGGGGCACAGTGTGGCGAGGTAGCTGTAGCAGGGTGCCCCAGCAAGGTGCTCACACGGGACCCTCCCCACCTCTGAGTGCTCATTTGAGAATTTTATACTACCACCAAGGCCTGCACCGGGACCACGTCCTCCTGACTACTGCGTTGTAGTGCGGATCGACCGTCGAGGCTGATCGATCTGGCAGGTGAGATATTGCGCACTCCGTAGCAAGTTTCGCCCTCGATGGCCGACGAGCCACTGTCGTATAGAGTGAGACCAGTGCCGTCTACAGGCTAGTGCGCTGTTTAGCGCAGATGAGAACGCACAGTGCCTGCAGAGACGAGCGAGGGGCGGTGGAAGAAAGGCCAGAACGAAGTGCTAGAATGGGAGATGTGGCCAGCAGGAACTGGCTGAATCCGGGCAGCTTACCCGCCAGGTGCATGCAACAGAAAGAAGGGAATGAATCTAGCTGTCATCTGCTGCAGGGTGCATGCGGGGGGAGAAGGAGCGCAGCCATGGAGGAGGGGCTATGGCGAGTAAAAAGAGTGTAACTCGCCCGCTTCTCAATGAAATTGGGCGAGGGCAGATGCTAGACCGGGGTTCTTGGACCAGGCGAGTTCAGTGGTAGCATTAGTTTTGGCAATGGATTAGAGTAGAAGGGGGTTAGTAGAAAAAGTCGTGCGCGGGAGATGGCTGAAAGAACGAAGAAGGAAAATGGCAAATGCATATCCCGCTCGTTTCCGGACGAAATCGGACGAGGGGGGATGCTAAATGGGGGTTTTGGGCCATTCCGAGTTGAATGGCCATGTTAGATTTTTGATTCGGGCGATGACTTGGCCGTCATGAGTAACGAAAGCTGCGCCCTGGGAAAACTAAGTGAAAAAAGTTACGTATCTGCCCACTTTCAGCGGCTGGTTCCTTCCTATTCTTGTGCATGGGGCAAGTGGTTGAGGCCCCGTGCTTGAGATCCTTCTTGTATCTACCGGCCATATCCATCATCGAGCTGCTGCTTTTGTACGGTCGTGACTGTCTTCAGGGGGCATCTTGACTATGGGGGCCACTGAGTCTGATGAACCTGGCGGAAATCTGAGGAAGGTGCATTTAAGATGAAGAAACAGCAGAAAAATTCAAAGTCTACAGGGGTGAGAAGAAACCAAGGATGGTAAGAGAGAGAGAAAGGGAAAGTCGGGCTTATCTGGTTGATTAGTGCCATACGAGGTGCTGTGCCAGCATGGATGTATTTTTGCTGGGTCCTAGAGGGAGATTCATTCTAGTTTGCATAGTCGACAGTCATGGCTGTGGTGTAGTGGATGAAGATGCAAGAGGTCGGTGAAGGAGGAGACAGCCTTGTCGACCAATGGACCTGCTGAGCAACGAGGTGTTGACAGAGACTATGTAGATTCGATTGACCCCGCTACTTGGAGCTCCCCTTCTAATGGGTTAGAATCTAGCCATGGTAAGCGGCCAGATACAAATAGGTGGAGTAGCGCAGTTTGGATAGTGGTTAGTGAACAGAACGGGAGTAAGGCTGAAAGGAAAGGGGCGTGCTCTCATCTGGTAAGTCTAGCCGACATCGTGTCTTTCGACAGTCCTGCAGAGGAATCCATTTGGCGGTAGAGCGAAGTTGCTAGTACTCGCCTTATGGCCACGCTGGCCTTGGTGGTCAAGGACAGGACTGCACTGTCTGCTCACCGCCCCGATTGTTTGTACTGGTTACTGAGCATCCGTCATGTTGGCCATAGTGGTGAGCGGGGTGCAGCCTGCTTTTTTTGGAAGGGGCCTGGTAGCTGTTGATAGGGCTCTAGTGCTGCTCCTCATGGCGGCCTTGTGCTTGTATGAGTAAACGAGAGGAGTGAAGGGACCAGGGGGCTTACCTGGTGAGACTGGTGGAGTTGCAGAACTGCCTGCTGGTTGCTGTGCCGCCTCACCAGCGGGCTGAAGAGGTGAGGAATGAGCAGGGAGGCTGCAAATTTTGCCTGTTAGCCTGTGAGTCGCGCAGCCCATTAGCCGGAGAAGGGGTCAGTAAGCGAAAGAACTACGAGGTTGCCGAGACAGGGTGACGAAAGGAGATGGTGGGAGCGAAAGATCGAAGTAACTCACCTGTTCTTCGTGGACAACGGGCGAGCGAAGGTCCGTTTTGGGGCTCTTTTYCCGGTGCTGCGAGTTTGGTGAAAGTGTTAGCTTAGCGTTGGAAGAGTTGGGATCGCGGAGCTCGGCTGTGTACTTACCATCGACGAAGTCAAGGGCTACAGGCGGTGGACTGGGCAGGAAGTACACTGCTGACATTGAGTTCGAACTGCAAGCGGGTGGTGAGCTGCGCAAGCATACCCTGCTATACAGATGAACCGCCGCTGATAACGAACTGTGCTTCCCTTCTCTGGTGTGTGTGAAAGGATGGTTGCTGGATACCGAGGCTGCGGCTACTGTAGTTTTGTGATTGTCTACGTACGAGTGGCCTACCACTACCTTTCGTTCACCTTTGCCTCGCTACTGCGCACGACTGCAAGGCACATAGTGTAAGCGAGTTGCTACGTATTGTTGGGCTGCACAGCGGGTGCACGGTGCTGTGCATGGCTGCTGGAGGTACAGTGTCGGCAAACTGTTGTGGTAATTGGCATGGGCGTAATAACGGGGCGTGATTACGGCAGCTTGGGGGAGTGGTCAGGTTCGGCGAAGGGGGGGGGGATATTGCTGCGCACTGAGAGGTCGTCAGGGAGTCAACAGTCGAAGGGTGACTTCAGTTTGGCCGAACCGCTGCGTATTTGCGGGGCCCTCAGGCGAATCAAGGCAACAAGGCCCTCTCTTGGGAGTTGAGGCAGTCCCTTTCTTGTATCTCGAGAGTCTGAAACCCCTTTTTTTGCCCTTCTGACTCTAAATCTAGCCTGTTTGGTCCTGAGAGGAAGGCGGCAGGCGGGATTGCAACCCGTAATCCGTGCCAAGGCCTTTGTGGGAGGTTGCCCCACCGATTGCGGGAGCCCTGTCGGAACTCAGGAGGAGTTCTGGAGGCAGGGAACTCAGAGGTAACCTTTGCTTCCCCTTGTAAACCCAGTATAACCCCTATCTACACACCTCCCTATGGAGTGTTTGGCTATGCTGAGTGCAACCTCTACTTTGACTTTTGGATTGACTTTCAAGACACAAATCAGACCAACTAAAGGAATGCTTGTATAATGGCAATTTCAGTTTCTTGATTGTCTGAAGGCAGATTGTCACAAGGGGTTGCATCAGGGGGAAGGTTGGGAGGAAGGCAATTTTGCTTGCGATTGAACGGGACTTATAGGGTCAGACATTGTTTCTAAGATGAATGGCCTGACTGCTGTGTTTTGTTCTGTTTTCTGAAGAACCAAGCATTGTTTCTAAGATGAATGGCTTGGTTGCTGTGTTTCTTTAATTGTGCCAGACATTATTTATAAGATGAATGACCTGGCTACTTATTTCTGAGGGGTATTGCTTGCTTGACTTTTGAGGGCCAGATATTGTTTCTAAGATGAATGGTCTGGCCGCTGTTTACTTGGGTGGTTTCTAAACAGTCTCTGGATCAGACCCAGGGTACTTTGTTTTTTTTTTTTTTTTTTTTTTGCTGAAAAAGGGGAAGCTGAGCATTGTTTCTAAGATGAATGGCTCATCTCTCCTTGATTGTTTTATTCTGAGGGAGGATTCAGGTCGAGAGGACTAGACATTGTTTCTAAGATGAATGGTCCAAGTCTGAGGCCTCAGGACCATAATGAGAACAAAGGAATAGGGATTCTCTATAATGTTGTATATATATGTATATGTACTTATATGCGAACAAGGCTAGTCAGACATTGTTTCTAAGATGAATGACCTGACTATAGCCTTATCACAAGCGAAGAGAGTATAATCGAGAGCTATAACTGAAGGTAACCTGGGAAGGCTGAGCATTATTTCTAAGATGAATGGCTCAGCCCTACGCCCTCTTTCTGAAGACTAAGGTGCAGAAAGGTATATATAACTTGGCTATTTAAAAAGTTCAGGGCGACTAAGCATGATTTTTAAGATGAATGACTTAGTCAAATGCCCAACGGAAAGAAAAGTAGTTGTACAACCTGTTCGTGTATAACTAAGGCAGAGGGCTGACATTGTTTCTAAGATGAATGGTCAGTCCCAATGCCCTATGTAAGCAGGGTATAAAGGGTTAAAACACTAAAAGACTATGAACTAATGTTTGCAATGTCAACCTGGGGTTGGTGAGAGTACTTACCTTTGTGGTTTGACTTGCATGTGGCTGAGTGGCATCACTACCTAGTCTGAGTTTGAGTTAATAGGTAGTTGCTGTAGTGACTCGCCACGTGCTAGAGCTATAGGAGTTAAATTCAATTCCTACATTTTCTGGGCTAAGTTTATTTTTACTTAGGTCAAATTCTCGCATTTTCAGAGATTTTTTGTTATACTTGGCTTCGTATAAATTTTGGTAAGCTACTTTCTCTACGGGAAGCGCTGCCGAAATTTCTGCCAATCCAAGGAGTTAGTCAAGTTTCTGACTTCTCAAAGTTCAACTTGTCTAAAGTTCATATATGGCTTAGTAAAAATCTGGGAAGTCTCCTTTTCTAAAGGGAATGCTGCCCAAATTTTTGCTAATTCAGGGAGTTAGACAAAATTGGACTTTGGAAAGTCAAAGACTATTTCTGTTTTCATATTCGGGCTAGTATAAATTCTGGGAAGGCACTTTTCCTACGGAAGCGCTGCCAAAATTTTCTTAGTTTAAAGGAGTTAGATTATATTTTGACAGGTGGCGATTCTAGTAATACACCCTGGATAGGGGAGATTGTGCCATGAGTCTACCTTTCTTTGGACGCTGGCTTAGAGGTAGACTTAGGCTTAACTATTAGGAGAGACTTTGAGATAGATTGTGGTGTGAGGATTATTCTCCAGGGGCTTATGGTTTTAGCCTGGGGCGTTGACCTGTCTTGTGTTACAGGTCCTTTTGATCGTTTGACTCAGGATTTGGACTAGTTTTAGCTTGATCCTACGAGGATCATCTTCTGTTATTACTGATAACAGGTCGGTTGGTTGATCGCCGACTTGTCGGCTCACGACACAACTTTGCTTACACCTGTACCTCAACCTGATTGCCTTAGCCCAGAGATTTGATATGTTTCTTTGATGGTTTTAACTGGACTTCTTTTAATGGCCATTATAGAGAACTTGTGAGATTTATGGAAGATTGGATTATGACTGGGGCTCGAGTGTGTGAGGYGTGGTATRAGTTACAGGGAACAGTAAAATTGACCACATTGGTGTATGGCAAYGTGGMTATTGTRTGTGTCTGTGTTTTATGCAGGTTAGTATTTTGGAGCTTGGTATATGGGYCATACTTTGGAGGCRGTGAGAATGACAACCATGTGTCGCACKATCTGCATACCTGATGGGTTTATGTTTCCCCTTCTTTTACTTTATCTCGAAATCTGATTTGGTATATGAGTGTGGGATGTTTATTTATTTTACTGATTGATTTTGCTTATTAATTTTGATAGTTGGACGTTGTAGTCCGTGACAGCCGTCAAAGTCAAACCCCTTGACTTTTGTCCAGGCCTGGAGTGGGGCTCATCTCCAGGACAGTAAGAAACGACTGCCACCACAGGTATGGACCTGTGTACCACACACTCTGCATAGGGTGCAGAAGAGGGTGTGCAGTGCTCAACCGCGCATGGCGGTTGTCCAACGTCGAAAGATTAACCCTCAAGGCGCGTGTCAGCCGACACTTGAGTGTCGAATGCGGCCCTCGAGACTAGCGAGGACTGCGTGAGTATGGGTACTACATAGCACGCCTTCATTGCGACCGCTTGCGTGCGCTTCCATTGCGAGTCGATATGAGTTAGCCCTGCGTCCGCGCGGTTTTATACTAAGTCTCGCGCGCGACGCCTATCTGATTTCCGCATCGAAAAGTTATGGGACGGCTACTGAAGGGACTAGGAGTGTTGTCGCGTTGTATCGTTTCGTATATGCGTGTGTGTGTGTTTTATTTTTGTGTTCGTAAAGTGGTGTGCGCATGGTGAGTGGGATACGTCCTAGTCGACCGACGACGAGTCGCGCTTGGGACCTCAACCCCCCAAGATGTCGGTTCGCGTGCGGGTCCGATAGGCGTATTACCGCGCGTACCCCCTATGCTACAGCGAACGAGAAACGCCCTCGGCTGGTCCACCTCTGCGATTGCAACCGAGTAGCGTTCGTACTGTGGACTGGTAGCTCGGCGGGGATTCGCCCATCGAAGGGAGGTGACAGCTCCCGTAAGGTGGAGGTAAGTTGTGCTTCGCGTAGGCCCTATCCTGTCGTAGGGGCTCGCGAGAGGTATGGCTGGCGCACTCGGCCGGAGCGGCTTGCGGAAGCTCCATCTATAATTGCGACGAGGGATTTAGACCAACTCCTGCGTGACGAGGCCAGGAGGGTCCTGCGCTGCCTTGGTGCGGTGCTAGACCGATGCGCTCGAGAGCGTGCTCTACCCTCGGTGGGTTGGCATGGTGACTGTGACCCAGTGCTTCGTCCGGGTCCTTTAGATAGCACCGCCCTCTCTCCTTCCAGGTGCTCCACGTGAACACTGGCGACTCTCAAGGTTGAGCGCGCTTGACTCCTCACATGAGAGGACTCTCAAGACAGAACGCACATCCTCACGGTAAGAAGTGTCGAAGAGGGTAGATAAGGTTAGGTGCAACGTACCTCAAAATAGCTGCCCCCAACCACAGATATTCTCACCAGATGACATGATGCCGATTGTGATGACCAATYGYTGCTTTGGCACAACCAGCATTACACCACCATTCCACCTCAGCATCAATCACATATCAGATAGTTMTCATCACACGGCGAACACCCAATATACACACGGTAGCCTTCCTRGCGATCCCCTCTCCACCTGGGTCGTCTACTTGCCTTTGCCCTCCTCACTACACACTCCCTACGGTAGCTCGCCTAGCATACCGCATGCATGTACCGCATAGGCAGAAGACAAGCGCCGGGTGMGCGCAA